TTTTTAAAGACATTTCAGTTTCAGATAACTTTGTAATGGTTGTTACGGATAACTATCGTCATTTCAAAAGATTTCGACTGGGAAACTACTTATTTTTAACTTGCGCACCAATTACGGTGCGCTCCCGGACTTTGCCTATGGAGGTACGCAGGGCTGTGGTGGGGACATCTATCAACCGAACGCGTGCCCGTACACACAGCACTGTACGCAGGGCTATTGTTTGTATGGTTATACTAGTATGTAAATTTCAGAAATATACATACATGCTGAGTTTACACATTACATGTATTCATGATCAGTGATTTCAACTGTATTTTAATTCTCGATTAATTATGTTACTTTAACATTGTCCTCGTCAACATATTTATTCGTTATGTATACTTCTAAATTCGTCTACTCATTTATGTTTCAATAAAGTCAAAATTTAAGCCCAATCATGTTGATAATGCCACCATATCAGTTACAGTCAATTAATCATGATTGACAAGGAAAATAACATGCCTAGACGCTCACTGACTTATGCACAAGATGTAAACTCACCAATGAGTGGGCCTTCTTTGTGTTTTTTCTATGTGTAAAAACTGAGCATATACATTTCTGAAATGAACATATTACAGAAAAAACGTTTACTTCACAAGTGACTGTGTTTATACTATTTGTATTTATACTGTTTGTATATACATGTAACATATTGAAGAACAATCTATTTGATATGCAAAACTCACAAGACATGTATTAGAGTGCCTGTGCAATGCCCACCCTCACGTTTCCCATTTTAGATCTGTGTTCCACTGAAAAGGGTAGTTATTGATTTTTTTGCTGAAAATGATTACTCGTATCCAAGTAAATTTGGGATATTTCTCGTGTTGTAGCCACGCCCACCTATCGTGAAACGGTCGACTGTTTCCGGATTTCCGACTCTCCCCGAAAGTGCGCCACCAAATGACAAAATGTGAGAGGAAGTCATACCCCTGAGCCGTAATAACACTGGTCGTTCAGTATACTTGTTTTTTGAGAGAGAGATAGTTTTAAGATGTGTTGTGGGCAGTTGCAGTGAAACGTATAGCCATAGTGTATGTATTCACACGTTTCTAATCGATCAGAAGGTGCGACAATCACTTAACCTTAGATTCTTTTTTTTGGGAAAAACTGTCCTCGTCCATGAAAAAAACGACTAGGTTTAAAGAGAAACGCCGACAACGTAAACCTGGCGCTACGCTTTTGAAAGAAATAGATTACGGACCAGCCCATGATCACCGAGGCGGATTTCAGAAGAGAGAGAGACGTCCGGCAAGTGTTTCAAATCAGTTGACTTTTTTTGCGATCCTGATTATCGTTTTATAGAGACCATTTCGTCCCTGTTAAGTAAAAGTTAGCAATAATTTTGACAGTGACACGAAAACGAAGCGTCGGACAAACAGGAAATTACACAGCCCTTGCACACTGCTAACTGTTTTCATTTTCGAAGGCTGAAAGTTTCTGAATTGTTTGGTGATTGGTGTTGAATGTCGAATTCACACCTCTGTTCTTTTTTACCTCCATGCTTGCAGCTTGATCTGCGTAATAATTTATGAAATAAGAATCCGGGCTTGGTCAATGTGTTTCCACCAAATAAAGTTTTAATATGATGTTATAATTATGACAATCACGCCATGGATCACGCTAACTCGAATCCACTCTGAATTTATCTGTATGTGTTTCGATCTCGATTATTTTTGTTATCCAATTAAACGCCGCGTTTAACGCACTTGCCCTCGCCGTGACCCGACGCGTTCACCTACTAGTATTTCAACAAAATGTCAATTTATTTCCACGCGGCTGTCATTTGTTTAGTAACTGTGATTTGTCGTTTTTTTTAATTATTTTATAGTGATCACTATAGTCTAATGTTTAGAATGTCAAAATATGTTCTCTTTTATTTTAATTTTGAAAGTTTTACTCAGACGATCGATGAAATAAAACAGTGTAGTGACGTGCCTAGTAAACTGCTAAATAACGAGATAATTCCGATGTCAAATTCTATTTTGTCCAGCGACAGTGTACAAACGTGCGCCGGTGTCAGTGACGATCACGGTGACCAGCTACACCAGAACGAACATATTTCGCATCTAACTCAACCCCATGCAACAAAAATTGATACTATGTGTTCATTATGATCCATTCTTCCTCGACGAACAAGTAGATAAGTGACAATATAGTCAAAGACGAGAAAACTGCACAAGAAATTTGCCTTATTTACACGTATTGGCAATGCAAGCTGCCATGCGACTTCCCCTTCTGACGTCACAAGGGGAATTTCTGTATGCAAATGAGAAGCTAATGAGGAGCCTCGTTTTAAAATACACAAAAATAAAGTTGCTGTAGACTGAGTTTAAAACACATTTTTTCACTTAAAAAAAATAATTCATGCTTAGAAACATAAAAATTAATAATATTTATGTATCAATTGATAATTTTAGGCGTGAAAATAGCAGCCATTTCATAGCACTTTAACTTTCTATACTTAGCAAACAATTTCAAACTACCATGAATTCAGTAAACCTAAAACTGTTGCAACAAGGAACTAAATACTTGAAATTAGCATTTGAAAAACACAAAAACTTCAGTAATTATTATTTTTTATTTTTTCAATGACAATCCTATGATTTGTGTTTTTTTTCGTTGTAATGTAAGCATATTATTATTATAATAATAATAACCAAAAAAACAGTATAAATCAGTGAATGATAAATAATAATATTTCTATGTCCCAGTAACAATGCATGCAATTTTTGGTTTATGTGCAGGCAAAAAATGGTGAAGTCTTAATACTGTATATGCTTTGTTAGTAGCGCGTATACTTATGTAAGTTACAGAGGTGTGTGTCTATGGTTATAATAAGTAATATTTTTTAAATATTTATTGTGCAACAAATGTATTTTTTGATTTATTTGACATTCGGGATGTGCTTCAAATAGAGTAAATACCTACTCGTCAAATTTAAAACCATATAAACTGAAAGTCACAGGTTAGGTCTGAACAATGGTAAGTGAAAGGCAAGTGCAATACAGTCAGAGCATAACTCAATTAACTTCCAAGCTGACTATTAGCTGTCTTTACCTCATCATAAATTATTTTTAATTTTTCAATTTAAATTTTTTTTTTTTACTTTGGATATATGATGATTTTAAAAGCAAGCAGAGCTAAAGTTAAGTTATGGTTGTGACTTTGTGGTTAAATAATTGAATTCATAAAGAAAAAATAACTGTACCATCATGCCCCATTAAAAACATTTCTGCTGGTTGTCATACAAATTAACAAATTAAGTTGTACATGGGATAGTGAGTCAGTGTTGAACTTTGTATACATATACATGTATACGTAGATGAAGAGTACTGGTATATATCAAGGTCTATGGATAGATATGTAAGCATAGTAGAATCAAACCCGTTACAGCCGGTAACACCTGCTCAGTGGATATGTATAATTATTAACAGTGGTGGAAGCGACAATATTATAATTGTAAATTCCCTTGATGCTGTTCGTAACTAAAAACCATGGATGTTAACATTTTATAAATACAAAATTTCACAAATTAATATTCAAATTGATTTTGAACAGTAATCATAATTTTTTAAGCCGCTTTATACCACATATTTAAGCAGTCATTAAAAGGAATAGTTTTTGATCCCTTCATGTTTGATGTTTTAATTTTTATTTTGAGCAGTCGCATACACACGTACAAATGTACTGTATGTGAATATTTTTAGATTTTTAAAAGACAAAACCAAATATAAACGTTTATAAAAGCTATGGCTGTGGCGTAAAATGGTATTCATCTTGTTGCTTCTTGAACAAGGCAGGTTTCACGGGCATGGGCCAATCACTATATAATTTGAATGTTCATTTACAAAATTTTGTATGTTCAAAATCATGTCTATGTAATGACCATGTATGTAAGACTATGATATTCCACTACATATATTTTGGCAATTATTAGCAAAGCCTTGAGTATAAAATGGTTCATTGCATTTGTAAACTGAAAATTTAAAGACTCATTCCATTTCCATGATTGCCTGGTAAAGTTTCCAGAAATATTGCAGAATATACAAGAAAAAAAGTGCAGCAAAATGTGGGTGAAAAAGCCTGGCAGTGAAAAGATATATCAGAATAGCATAGTTAAATGAATGTTCACAATGTTTAAAATATTCATGTTTTATTTTACAGTTATTTTACAAATAAAGGACTCAAGATGTCTGGTTTGTATCCATCACTAGAAGACATGAAAGTAGGCCAGATGGCCAGGGTATGTTGGTTATGAAATTCTATTTTTAGTACTTCAGTAATACACCATATTGGTTCATGCATATGCATCATGTACTGTAAAGATATTACTTTTAGATCTATTGGTATTCACCTGGTGTAAACATCTCAAGATGAATTAGTAAAATTTACATATAATGTGAAATGTTTGCCAATTCTTGCACAATTATCATATTTTCTAATAATCAAAATTCAAAGAAGACCAAAAAAATCTGTTAAAGAAAAAAATGTTAAGCAACATCTTTTCCTTGCTTGTATTAATAATTTAATGAGAGATAACATCTCAAAATAACATTGAAAAATGTTTGCAGTGACCGGATTTTATTTCCATCACACACTGACAGCACTTCTGTGTGTGATGTAACAAAGTAAACAAAGAAAAGTCTTGAAATGTGACGTAAAAGTGATGCACGATTTCCAAATAAGAGAGATACTCAAGCCCATTCGTAACACTTTCGAACTCGTCACAAATTGGTAAATTTTAATGTTTTTGGTGTCAGATGTATAATACTTTAATATATTATTATACATCTGTCATTGTAACGCCATGAGTGACAGCGTGCTGTACTCGTAATAACCTCATTACATATAACTTTGCACTTAACAGGCTCAAGTTCAGCATCAGCAGGTAGCACATCAAGCAGCCATCGAACACAACCAACATTCACATGTGGCTGCACCGGGATATCCACCTCAGCCTGGCCCACCATCTTATGCACCAGTATCCAGTGCAGGGCAGTCATCGTTGTATCCATCGTTAGAAGAGTATATGGGACTTAATCTCACACCAGAGTTTGTAGCTCAAAACATGCCATTAGTAGCTCAACAACCGCAGGTTTGTTTCTTTATAGATAGATAGATTTTTACTCTTTCTCAACATAGTTTACATTCTACACAATAATCATAATCAAATTATTGATCAAAATTGAAAAAAGCTTTTGAAAAATAAAAAAACCTTTCTTTGTTTCGGGGTACATGTATTAGAGGAAGAGAGTCTGAAACTCAAAGACTTCTTAAAATGATTCGACGTAATTTTCAAATAAATGTAATCATAGAAAAAATATTCAAGTTGCATGCGTTTTTTTCCAGAAAAAGTTGCTTTCTTGAAATATGAGATGATATCAGAGCATACTTGTACAACATTTGAGAGTGAAATTTGCTCATTTTGGTCTTCCTGAAACTACTCTGATTGAGTTACAAAGATTAACTAATATTTCTGAATAGCTAAGACAGTTAGAAACACAGAGAAAAATTTCTATAGATATATTTGTAGTATGCCTAAGCTTGTGTGAAGATGGTATGATCAGAATAAGCCATTCAACTACCGTATTTGCTCTATTAGTAGCATTACGTACATTTATTTATGGTCAAAAATAATTAATATTTTAATGACTTAGTACATATGGTAACTCACTCAGGGGTTTTTCTAAACCAGGGAACAGGGGCATAGCGCCCTGATACTCTCGGCTGGCGCCCTCTTACCGAATTGCCGTTTCAAGTCATAAATATATTTCTTGAGCTACTCATTTCCGTGCTGCCGTACAACATAAAATCTTGTCACTAATTACTCTACAATAATTGTCTTCACAGTGCTGTAGGGAAGCATATAGATATTTACAACCGCATGAACAAAATACATGTGTTATATTTGTGTGCCAAAATTAACATGTTATGATGTTACTTACTTAGGCACAAGCTGTCGCTGTACCGCAGTCGTCCGGTATGTTGGCACCGGTGACTGGCAATAGCGTGGGTCTGCGTAGAGCAGAAGTCAAGTCCGGTGTACGCGAGTTGATATGTTGTAAAGATGAACAAGGAAGAATCGGACTGCGTGTTAGATCTATCAGTAAGGTAAGAAATGGTATCATATCTTGTATATCATTTTATTATCATCGCTACCCATTTACAATAGTGTTGTTTTGTTAGTCATTTTATTTATGTTGCGACAGTACCGGTACATTGAATGTCGCTGTTGTCTCTCCTGACTTTTTGTTTTTGTATGTGCAAATTGCAAGTGCTAGTGCTGACATATATGTATAGTGCATTTTGTGCCACAGAAGTCATATTCATGTTTGGGACTACATGACAGGGCTGTGTGGCCATCTCTCTATCAAATGGCAATTTTAATGCGCTATCCTGGCATCAACCAGGCTCTGTCAAACACAAGCACCCCCAAAGTCTCATTCGTTAGTGAATGAGTCTCGGCCAGTGGAATTGGCCTTCCCATTGATTCTGTTGCACACTCTCCTAGTTCAGTCTGAAGTAGGATTTCAACTTGGGTCTACCGATCATGAGTCTGATGGAACAACCACTATGCTACCAGTGACCGGTTTTATGTTGCTTATCATTTGCACTGAGTTGCATCATGCTTTAATTTTGCGGTTATCTGCATCCTACCTTATTAAGAAAAGTAAAATCCAAATATAAAACAATGTAATATTTCCAAAAGTGAGAAAGTGTAAATAATTTCCACTATCTTGTTCAGTTCTGGGCATCCGACACAAAACAGTTGGATTTAGAAAAATGTAAATAATATATAAGGTTATTACAATGATACCGCAAAGTATACACAGTACACACTCGCATGAAGATCCTCTACTCACAGGTTGATACTCCTCTTTTACAGTCTTCATGCATATTTTGTGGTATCTTACCTATGTTATACTTATTGACATATTAGTATTTGAAATGAGTTTTTAATTATATTATTATTAATACTTACCCCAGCATTTATTCAATTAAGAGTTAGATAATCATATAACAACATGTCTAGTTTGTATTGCTTCCTAATTTTTATTCGTAAGAATAATAATATCTAGATTCTAAACATAAAAAGTTGTAATAATTACCTTATGGTTTATAAAATTTGCTGTAAAGACCTGTTTTTACATTTTTGCCATAGTAACTGTTTCGATTCTGATCATCTTATGACAAAACAATAATTTCTGTTGTGATATTTACATTTCCAAGTGTGTTTCATTTACAAAAATGCAATAGCCAAATTGAATGAAATATTGGCACAACTCATGTTCTTCCACATAAACAATAAATAACAATTGTATCTTTACTTTATAACTGGATACCTCAGACGTCATATTTTCTTAGCTAATTCATAACCCTACTTTGACCTGTAACCTCTCTCTACAGGGCGTGTTTGTACAGTTCGTTCATAAGAATACACCAGCAGCATTGGCTGGATTAAGGTTTGGAGACCAAATACTGCAGATTAATGGTGAAAATGTTGCTGGATGGGACACTGATAAAACTATGAAGTATCTCAAGAAATGTGACCCACAAAGGATTGTGTTTGCAGTTAGAGACAGGTATTGCATGATTTCGTCTTATTTGATTTTTGTTAATTACATATATTTAATATTATGACAGAACCCCATGTTCTCTACCATGGATGCAAGTACTTGACGTTCCTCTTCAACTTGCATGATGTTGGTTTTTGTTTTTGGTTTACCAACATGTTGTATCAGTAGCACTTCTACAAATACTGTTACTGACTGCATGTCATTGTGAATAGTTAGCCAGTTTGTCGATATATGCATCGAAGGTACTAACGGAAGGTGCCACGATGCCTCTCAAGTGGCCACATAAGCTTTTTTACAGGCTTATTTTCTTTTGTTTCAACCCAAGATAATCCTGATGAGGACATTTTCTAGCTCATCTTTGATGTCGATGATAGTTTGCGATTGTTTACACAAGTAACGAGTTAGCGGAATATGACATAACCTTGCCGATTTTTAAATGTGACCATAAAATGTATGCGCATTATCATTTATGAAACTACGGTCATCACACAAGCGTACTCAGTTTGTTTAGGTGTGAAAGGTCAAAATACGTATTTCACAGCCGGAAATTCAACAGATGAACGTTTGACTTCACGTATTTCACATGTTTTAATTATTAGCAACTGTAACAAAAACAATATTTTGAGTGTCTACAACAAAAATTCCTAAAAAAATATTATCACAGAGAAAGTGTCTAGGCATGCCCTTCTTTCGATACTATCTTTTCTGGTGGTGTTCACCGATCACAATTCTTCTGTGCATTGAATAATGCAATGGTTATTGTCATAGGCATTTATTGATTAAATCTCATCACCATTACAAATACAAAAAGATTCACTATAGTTCATCAGTTCTTCTTCAATCGATGTTATATCTGCCTCAGTTCGCCAAATTCTCTGGAAACAACAGCATTCAAACTAGACGCCATTTTCAGTAATGTACATGCGAGGTTCGCCTATCGCTTTCGAACATGTCCCGAATATTACTAAATGCTCGAGATTAGCGTAACCCATTGTACGAAGGTGTTAAGAGCTAACGAGAACCAATGTTTGTGAACAAACATTGACAAACGATCATGGGGTAAAGCTAAAACAATAGCGTTGTGACTCCTTCCGTTAGTACCTTCCATGATATATGTGAATCTGATTGAAAGGGAACCTTCCAAGACCAGGGATTGCACCAAAGAATCATGGGAGACTATTGTTTATGTTTTTATTTACAAAGTTAATCTATTCTTTGTTATCCATTGTAATTTTAATCCAGAAAGTAAATTTGTTGTGAGATTAAGCTTAACTGGAAGTGCCCCTTTAAGGTCAGATGTACATGTATATAGTTGCTTTGAAGGTCGGTGGTCTTCAAGCAGCACAGAATTTCATGTAAATAAACAATGCATTTTACACAGGTAGTGTACGTCACTATGAATCACATACTGTAAAATGACTAATTTTCACTGGGTTTAAATTTCACTGATTTACCATTTCAGGCATATTCAGTAAGTTTTAAATTCACGGTTTCGTCATTTAGATAATGTGTTCTATGCTAAATTTTACATATTCACTGTGTTTTAATTTAGCGCATTTTTCCATTCAGCGAAATAAGCTAAATTAAAACACAGTGAATAATTACCCCCTTTACAGTATTGAACAGGATGTGGCACGACGACTGCTGCCCTTAACACATCGTGTGCAGATCTTGTATGATCAGTAGTTTGAGGCACTACCTGTTTTTGTTTTATCCATTCATAATTATTCTTTGATGTTGTGTTACAGACCATTTGAACGCACAATTACACTACAGAAAGATAGTTCTGGACATGTTGGATTTGTTTACAAGAACGGCGAGGTGACTAAGATTGCTAAAGAGTCGTCGGCTGCCAGAAACGGTCTTCTTATTGACCACATGCTGGTTGAGGTCAACGGTCAGAATGTCATTGGACTAAAAGTAAGAAACATACACTCATTGTTAGAGTATTAGTGTCATAGACGGCATAAACCCCTTCTATTTTTACCACTGTAACAGTATTTGTCTTCATTCAAATCATTGGTTGAAATCAACTGCCTCCAGTTACAAACCACGTAGTTCAGTGCACCCAAGCTTGATGACTCAATTGGATACCGTTATTTGTGTGTACATTAAAAACTGCAGTCATGTTTTAACAAATTTCATGATGTCTTGTCTCAAGTACATCCATTAAAGAAAATCTGATTTGATCCAACCTGTTTTTATACTTCTAAATGTTATAGTTTTAAATTAAATTGTTTTTGTCTGACAGAGCCAGAGCCAACCCCCACCTTGCCCCGTCCTACCCACCCTAAAGCTAAAGGAATCAGACATCAATATTTTGAAACTCTTACCCCGGGTGAGAGTTATTTCTAGATTTTATAACCCCCTCCCTGTTTAAAAAAGATTAAAGTTGTCAATTGCTCAAAAAGAATGGGTTTGGCTTCTGTTAGGGATGCGGTTTCAAATAAAGTTTTTTATGGTACTTGCTATCAATGCCTCATGTTTTGAACAACATTCTAGCATAGTTACTTGCTACATTCACACAACAAAATTTAATCACAGATAGTTAGATCCTGTTTAAAATCCTGTAAATGCTGAAATCGATATTATAACCTAATTTCAAATTGTGCTGTGTGTTCTTTTGGCTTTAATGTGTTAATGAGTTTTATATTTTTTCTGTAGGATTCCGAAATATCTGAAATTGTCAGTGTTTGTGGAAGGACAGTCACACTTACAATCATTCCTAACTTCATCTACAAACACATCATGAAAAGGTGAGTATAAATAGATTTGTGTTACATTAAAATGGAAATATGAATTCCAATCATAAATTATTAAACAAAAGTTGTCAATAGAAAGATGCAGGACTGTGAACACACTACAACTGCAACCAAAATACATAGACAAGAAACATTACCAAACTTTATTAAATCAGTGAAAAATTATACAGTAAAAGAAGAATATTAGATTGTGATTTAAAGCGTGGTGGTCGTCGCGCAGCGCGTGTTCGAATTTCATGTAAATAAACAATGTATTTTACAAGCGTTGTATACGTCGTTATGAGTCCCATATCAAACAGGACGCGGCACGACGACTGCAGCCCTTTAATTTATTATTTAATTCTGTCTGTTTGTCTCTAGAAATATTGCTTGCAAATAACATGTATAAATTTACCATTTCATTGCCATCATGATTGTCATTTTGGTCACACAAAAAATGTTGACAAGTAAAAACAACTAAAACTAGATTATCACTTATTGCTACAAGTCTTCCAAGAGTTGGTTTAAACTTTGTAGCTTATGCCAAGTACTAATTCAATCTTAAGTTTAGGTGATTTATTTATCTGTAAATACTTTCTTCTATCGTTAAATAAAATTATTTTGTACGCAGCAAAAACACTGATTATGTGTACAAACAAACCATGGTTAGTAAAATTGGAAAGCCGTCTTTGCTTTTCTGATGTCAAACTTATAACTTTGTCATCTTTCACAAAGTAGTCACCATTCAGGATTATTATTACATAAATTATTGACAAGTAAAAAATGACTAAAACTAGATTCTGATGAAACCTGGTTTATGCTGTGTATTATAGACAAATAACTATTCGTCTTTTACTATTTTTTTTATTTTATCACTTCTCCAATAGCATCGGTGGTAGTCTTGTGAAGAAGGATATGGACCACTCTATTCCTGATGTGTAAAGTCTCATCCCTATATGCCAAGAAATAATGGTTTGATCCGCACCCAGTGAAGCTGAGAAGTATACCAAAGGCAGCGACATGGGGGTGGGTGGGTTGATTTAGAGGGGATCATTATCCTCAATCATACATAAATACACATTTAACTGGAAGTTTTTATTTTTACTTGATCTTTTCAAATTGCTCTTAAGACTGAAATTTCTTTATAATGCTTTAAAGTTTTTGCCAGTAACTGGATAAAAAAAATATTCAGACATTTGGCCACTAGAGGGCAGTATTGAATGTGTTATTTGAAGGAAAGTTTTAATACTTGTACTAGAGAAGAATGATTATAGCAAAATGAAATGTTCTTTATTTATCCAAAACTGAGGAGATTTGCAGCGACAAAAATTAATGAAAATTGCTGCTTTTAGAACCAAAAAAGAATTCACAACATTTGAAACTTGTCTTTGGCGAAATAAGAAGTTTGTTCAGTCATTTTATAAATACGTGCATTTCTAATAAAGTAAATATTTAAGATCTATAATCCTTTAACAACATTTTGTATTCCGAGGTGTTCATCACATACTGTATTTATGTCATAAGTCATATTCTAATAATAACCCAGCATACTATAAAGATAGCTATTGGTTTTACATGAACTTCTATTTTAACTACCCTTATAGAAAAAATATATGATAGTCTTGTCTCTGTGTATTAGCAATAAAATAACTTGTATCCAGTGTTTTTACTAATTTATATATAATTATTTCTCTGATACCTACATGTGTAAACGTTAATACTAAGTTACTTACTTGTTCTGTAGTAGGCATTAACAAGTTGTGTTCATTTGATCCAAATGACAACAGATTCTATGATGTCATATTACCCATAATCCTTTGCTTGAAAAACAAAATGGCTGACTACATAATGCTGATAAAAAGTTGAATATCTAGAGAATGAAAAGTGATATAAAAAAACTGTAAATTGCATTCTCCTACATTTGTGGAGCTTATTCGTGAGAGGTCATTATGTTGTTTGGCTTGATGTTTCCTTCAAACAAAATTGTGCAGAATGTTACAAGCAGGGAAATAATGGTTAAGGCATAAGAGGGGGGGGTTGATGGGATGTCTGCATTAGCATAATTACATGCGCAAGAAACTATGAGCTATCCATGCTGATTTCATTTTGAATAGAATGAAAATATGATTTTGATTTGAATACCGTACAAGGATCTTATTGTTTACAGGTTTGTATATGTATAAGAACTTATGAGAGCTCTGTAGGTGGGATGAAAGTTGTCCTAGAAAGTCATGAGTTGCGTCATGTGACAACCATCCACGTCTAAAAACAAACTAAACTGTTGTCACATGCGACTGCTATAGTGGCCAACTGTGACTGTATTAGGGAACCATCTCTGCGAACAGATTTAAATTTGCATATGATTGACATGCAACTCATTAATAATTTCAACTAATCAAATTAGTTACGGCTACCATATGCAAATGTAGCTTACTGGGTTCACTGTAAGCTATTGTGGTCACAAGTGACAACAGTTATGGGGCAGGGATACCCAGCCTTCATAGTAAACTAGAGCGTACATCTTTCCATACTCGCCGATGGACACTAGTTTAGCTACATTTCTTTTAAGATACAAGTCCTTATAGTTGTAATCTGAGAACTCTCAACATAAATAATATTTTCAGAAATCTGTGTGAAGTTCTTCCTTAATTAAAAAAGATGCTATATTATTTTTTTTTGTTTTTTTAGAATAGGTGCCTTTTCACATATAATCCTCAGAAGGATGACAAAAATACCACAATTTATATATTTACATAATAGTCAATGTAGTAGATAATTTTTATCTCTTGTACACAAATATTTTTCACGTCAAAATGTCTTAAATTTACATTTGTAAGTCTTCAAGATTTACTGAATTATGATTATTAAAATGAGTTTCTGTAATTGAAAATGTATCATTTGGCATACCGTATTTGTGTCTATGGTCAAAATAATTTGTATTACTGTAAAACACGTTAAAATAGCTATATGGCATTTTAGAGAATTTGACTAAATGCATAAATTAACAGAATCTTAATTTAGCTTAAAGTGCTGACAATCTCATTGTAAGAATATACTTTATTTTAAATTGACATTTTGAATTCGCTAAAATAATATGCTAGCTAAAAAGACATGTTTTAAAGTATAAGGTTTGTGCGTGTGTCTGTTACGGGGGGTGGGGGTGGGATTGAGGATGTACTTCTAACCGAGAAAATATAGTATTGGGCTAGCTGATATTTTCATTAGTTTTGTTCATGCGTACAAGCTGGTATTGCTGTCTGGTAATGCAGGAAACCTAGGTATCTATCAATGACAAAATTATTTACAATTATTGCTTTTAAATATATAGGTGTGGTTTCTTTGATTTTTTTTCATACGAATTAAACTTTATTTAAATTTTGAATTTGACATAATAAAACGGTATCAATTTATTGCAAAGCAAGAGAAACTACACAAGGTAAGACAGATTTGTGATTGTTGGCAAATATTTGAATTCAATCGTTTAAATGGTGGTGGTGGTCGCCATGCAAACGATGTATTTCACAGGGTACCGTATTGATCATAGCACACCGAGATGACAATCAAAGATGTAATATAAGAAATGTGCCAAATTGATGTTACCATAGAGTTTATGAAATGTACATTCACTGATGTTTTATTAAATAAATCCATATTGTAGAATTTGTGTTAAAGTATTCCTATTGTATATGTATATGTGTGTCTGTATTAGAAGGTTCATAGCTTAAAGTTGTACAGGTAATATTGAATTTCAGGGTGTTCAAAAGTTGGTAATCATTTCAGTTTTTGTTAGCTCTGCTGTCGACTTTGTCGAGCGGAGCTTATCATATGAGTGATTGTCCGGCGTCCGTGTCAATGTTTTACTTTTTCGACTTCTTCTTGAAAACTACAAGCCTGAATGCTTTGATACTTGGTGTATATGTACCTTGGGTAGACCTTTCTCAGATTTGTTCATTTCATGATCATATCTTCAATTCTCTAATTTTGGTAAAATTTCATTTTTGGTAAAAAGTGATATTTTCGACTTTTTGTTAAAAACCGCAAGTCCAATTGCTTTGATATTACATATATAGGTACTACATGTGGATCTCTCTCAGATTTGTTCATTTTGTAATGATATCTTTAGTTCTCTAATTTTGGTGAATATTTTTGTCATTTTTGGTAAAAAGTGATATTTTCGACTTCTTGTTAAAAACCGCAAGTCCAATTGCTTTGATATTACATATATAGGTACTACATGTGGACCTCTCTCAGATTTGTTCATTTTGTAATGATATCTTCAATTCTCTAATTTGGGTGAATATTTTTGTCATTTTTAGTAAAAAGTGATATTTTCAACTTCTTGTTAAAAACCGCAAGTCCAATTGCTTTGATATTACATATATATGTACTACATGTGGACTTCTCTCAGATTTGTTCATTTTGTAATGATATCTTTAATTCTCTAATTTTGGTGAATATTTTTGTCATTTTTGGTAAAAAGTG